GAGATGCTCTGGCCAGCTGCCTGGGGCAAGCCACCTAACAGTCATTTTATTTACCAGTTAATAGGTTGACAATCTGCTGTCCTCCCTGAAGCACAGGAGAGGAAAAAGCAAAGTTCCTTTAGTACTGTTAGTACTATTAAGTATTGATGCATTCATTCATTGTTGAATGATGAAGACAGAGAAGGAGGAAAACCAAATTTCAGCCATTTCTGACCTCTTAATTTATCATGCAGTTGTGCAATAGCAATAGAAATGGCCATTTGACTGTTTTGTGGGGAGGGAATAATTTTTTTATATTGTTGTCTCCATCTAGATTGTAAAGTTCTTGATACTGGAGACATTTGTGCCTTTCACGTTTTTGTTTCCATCCTTGACTAGCATGTTACATCAGTGATTCTCAGCTGTCTCAGATCCTGCTTACTGTTTATGATCCAGAAATGCTATTTGTAGATGATGTAATTACCTACACATGTAATTTTAAAGAATTATTAAAGTGCCTTACCTGTAAAGGAGAATTTAAAAGGTAGTAATTTACAACAAAATAATATTTTGATGTGTAAATGCTCTGTGAGTACATAGAAAACAATGGCATATTGATTAGTATGTGCAAAGGCCCTGGAAAAGCGAATTTACCTTTTTGGGAAAAGAGAAAGAAGGCCAGTGTGACTGAAGCCCGAGGTGGAGAATGGTTGAGATGTTGGAGAGTTGGGGGGGTGGGGGGCATGCAGAGAGAACATCTGGCAAAGCCAGGGAGGGACTTGGATTTTATGTTCAGAAGATCACTATTGTTGCTTGAAGCAGAGGACAGTGTGTTGGGAATCCAGCAGAGAGAGTGACTAACTTTGCATGACAGAGAATGGAAGTGTTCAAAGCAGGACTTTTAGAGAAAGAGAGAATTTTAATATTTATTTATTTTTTCTTAGTTCTCGGCGGACACAACATCTTTGTTTGTATGTGGTGCTGAGGATCGAACCCGGGCCGCACGCACACCAGGCGAGCGCGCTACCGCTTGAGCCACATCCCCAGCCCAAAGCAGGACTTTTAAATTGCATCTTAAAGGACAGATTTGAATGGGGATGCGAGAGCTGTAGAAATGGAATATATGATAGCAGTTCTCATATCAGAACCTGTATCCCCTTCACAGTCCTGAGAAGTAATTTGTGGATGATATAATTACCTTCACGTCCAGTCTTTAAAATGCCCTAACTGTAAATTTAGAAGAACTTAAACAAATATGTGTAGATATTCACTCCTGACTAAAAGCCATGAACTAATCATATGCTTGTGCCTACCAGTGAGAAAAAAGTTCAGTGTAAAAGAATTAAAATAAAATTCCATTGAATCTTTCCAACATTTTGTATTTAACATTAAAATCATAGCTAAATGGGTATATTTGTATATTTACAGGCTATAGGCAGAGTCATTCACAGTGAAGTGATAGAAGTACAGACTGATACTTGATATGTATATTGCTGATCCAAATGTCATGAGTTTGTGTTATTAATGATCTAATTTTTCAAAATGGTGAACAGCTCTTGATAAAGCTACAAAAACACAAGGTAAAATCCTCCCAATCATAGAGAATTTAGCACTGGAGATGAAATTCTGGGAATYACATAGAGGTTAATCTAAACATTATAAAACATCAAACAAAAATCAACAAGATTAAATTTAAGAGGAATAAATATAGGATCCTCATGGCTTTTCACTAGAATCTACTTATAAGTCATGACTAGGCAGCAAACAGGAAAAAAAAAAAAAAGGCAGGCCCAGCTTGGTATAATTCAGTTGCTTAAAAATAAGCATGCTGTCTTGACAGTATATTAGCAGTATGATGTCCTGGCCATGGGTGGTTCAGGCGCATGTACAAAATACTGCTGAGGGTTCAGTTTGGGAGCCAGACTATGGAGGTGTAAAGGAAGTTGAAAGAACCACTGGAAAGAAAAGTTAATGTTACCAAGTCTAGGTTTAAGAAACAACAACCATAAAGGAGGAGTAGTTTTCCAGATAATTTAAAGATTGCAATTTTTGGAAAAAGAGAAAATAAGTTTGTTCTCTGTATCTATWGAAAGTAGATCTGGGACCCTTTCCTGAAAGTTACAAGAAAGTAGATATTGAGCAGTCAACACATACTTGCTTACCCCTTTTCAGTGATGGTGTAAATAGAATATGCTGGAGATAGATAGGTGGTTTCTCACGACTTTTCTAGCTCTTGAATGAATGTGAGTAGACTCCAGGATGGCTTACCCCGCCAAGCACACGTTTTGGTTTCACAGCCAAACAGGTTCCCAGTTTCTAGCAAGACTCAAGGAAGATTCCATTGGACCTGTACTAACTAGAYATTTGTAGTTACCCAAAAGTAACTGAACTCAGTTGGGTTAGGGTTAGGGTTAGAAAGAAAATCCCAACTCTGAAGAGACTATAGAGGGAAAGCTGATTTGTAGGTAGCTCACCCTGGTCAAATCATTCTAAAAATAATTCTGCTTTTTTAAAGTTATTAATGTGCCAGAAAAGAAGTCTCCTGACTTCTCAGTTTCTCATACCATAACCCCCACTCTGTAGAAAAAAATCTTCCCTTGGTAATGCTTCCTGAAACAGGGCTCCAGAACAGAGTTTTTCACCCAGGGTTGGTTTATGAAGTCCTTGAAGTATTTCTGAAATATTTTGGTTGTATACATTTTTCTAAGAGGGGCATTGGCATTCATTAGATTCCCAAAGGGTTATATCTTTTAAAATTAAGAATCAAGTTAAGTGGTCCTTTTCTTAACTAAGGCAAATCTCCCTTTTTTTCCTTTTTATAGTGAATGTCTTTCAGCTGCCCTTAGTTAAATTCTTCTGAGGTATCAAAAGTTGTTTGAGGAGTAGGCTAATTGGAAAACTCCCTTAAGCTCCCTGCTTGGGCCTGTGACCCTTCTATTATGATCTTAGAATATCCTCTGCTTATTTCTGATACAGCACTTGTCATGTTATATCAAAAGGCTCTGTTGATGGGACCATCTTCCATTATTGGCTTTGAAGGGCAGGCCTGTGTTATATTTATTTTTTAATTCCCAGAATTCAGCATCACACCAGGTATATGATGGATGCTCAAAAGTGTTGAACCATTTACCCATAATTCAACAGACTCTATTTTCCCTCCCGCAGCCTGTATATTTCAAGCGCTGACCCTGAGCCAGGTACTATGTTAGGCATCCATGCAGAGGGATTTTTGCCACCCACCCCAAACTGTATAATAGGACTGACCCTGCTGTAACAGCTATCACTCAAGAGGACAATGAGTTTGTTCTTTGTAGTCTTCCTCAAAAACATTTTTATATGTCTCTTTATTTTTCTATTTTTTATTTATTTGGTACTGGGGATAGAATCCAGGGGTACTTAACCACTGAGCCACATCCTCAGTCATTTGTTATTTTTATTTTGAGACAGGATATCGCTAAGTTGTTTAGGGCCTCACTAGTTGCTGAGGTTGACTTTGAACTTGCAATCCTCTTGTATTCAGCCACTGGAATTACAGGCGTGCACCACTGTGCTGGGCTCATAGTATTTTTTTTAGTTATTTATTTTTTATTCTAATTTGTTATATATGACAGCAGAATGCATTACAATTCACGTTACACATATAGAGCACAATTTTTCATATCTCTGGTTATATATAAAGTATATTTACACCCTTCATKTCTTCATACATGTACTTAGGGTAATGATGTCCATCTCATTCCACCATCTTTTTTACCCTCATGCCCTCTCCTTTTCCTCCCACCCCTTTTCCCTATTTAGAGTTCATCTAATCCTCCCATGCTCCCCCTCCCAACCCCACAATGAATCAACCTCCTTATATCAGAGAAGAAAATTTGGTTTTTTGGGGATTGGCTAACTTCACTTAGCGTTATATTGTCCAACTCCATCCATTTACCTACAAATGCCATGATTTTATTCTCTTTTAATTCTGAGTAACATTCCATTATGTATATATGCCACATTTTCTTTATCTATTTATCTACTGAAGGGCATCTAGTTGGTTCCACAGTTATCTATTGTGAATTGTGTTGCTATAAATATTGATGTGGCTGTGTCCCTGTAGAATTCTGTTTTTAAGTCCTTTGGGTATAGACTGAGGAGTGGGATAGCTAGATCAAATGGTGGTTCCATGCTTATAAGTATTTTTAATCCCATGGATTTGGGTTAGATTTGGCCCTATTTTCTTGAGCTACAAGCTACTGACTCCTAATTACAGGCTTTTCTCAGTGGTTGACAGGCAGGATTTGACTACAGGAGTCAAGGAGAATCCAAGTCCAGAGCTCTGAGCCATCTATTCTAAAATTTTTTACACTTGAGGAATATTTGACTGGGGGGKGGGGAGCGAAAGTCATCTTGGTGTGTATTTCAAAAGCCATGTTGTAACACATCCACCTGAAGACTCAGGTTTAGTAGGTAAGAGCTAAGGATCCAGCATTGATAGTTTTAAATGATTCTACTAATCATTCTTTTATGTGGTCATTGAAGTAAAAAAATTAGTAAGTTGCTCATGCCTACAAATATCTGCACAACCTAAGGGACTCTAGCTTCCTGACTTCCTAAATTGAGCTTCTGCAGTATGTCCACGGCACTCCCTGTTCCTACTGCATGAAACACTCTTCCCCAGGGAGCTGCATAATTATGTCTGTTGCTAGTTATCTCCAACAGATCTAAGCTTCATCTGGGCAGGCATTTTTGTCTGTTTTGTGTATTCATCGCAAGCTTTAGAACAGTTCCTGGCATGTTGTAAGTAGTTAGTGTATATTTAACGAATAACTACTGTTAGTGAGGGTATTCAGATATGTTTTTGGTTAAAATGATTGTTTTTACACTGCCCTGGAAACCTGTCCTCCTCCTCATCAGTAGCATTTTCTGCAAGAAATTATTGTAAGTGCCAAAAACAGATGTGTTAAGTGAAAATGTACAACACTGCCAACAGAGGGGCCAGTTAGTTCTTGATGGACTGTACCTTCATTTCAAAACAGGACGTGATATGGTCTGATTTTGGTTTTCCTGGAAGAAATGGACAGGAAAGTACATTGTGGATTGGCTCCTTGGGAGCCCATACCCCCTGTCATCTGGACTCCTATGGTTGCAACTTAGTATTCCAGGTACAAGGAAGGTAATGCACAAGGGTCGTGTGTGTGTGTGTGTGTGTGTGTGTGTGTGTGTGTGTTCATGTGCACATGCAAGCAGGGACAGAGGAATGTGTACTGAGTGTGCAGGAGGACCCCAAGCCTTACTCCCAGCCTATCCTGTTAGCCTGCCCTAAGCCAGAACAGTCCTCTTTGCCTCTGGATCTGTTTCCTTTTTTGTGAACTGAGGGTAACAGGTGAAATGGTGGTTTCCAAGCCTCTCAGCCATGATCAGGATTGTCTTCAGAACTCCCATTTCAGCTGGGCTCCACTGGATTTTTTATATTATATTAGAGTATATAGGTTTATGTTTTCCAAACTTTTCTTTAAAAGCAGGAGCACCCTTTCTTCAACTCTCAGTAAATAAAAGCAGAGCAGTTAGTTGAAAGGAGGAGTTGAAAGGAGGAGTACTTCAACTGTTGCCCTCAAGCCCGAGGGGATACCAAGGAGTCTGGATCAAATCCTTTTTATGGCACTTTTCAACTATAAATTTCAGTTTGGACCTACCTGTAGACACAGTGCTATAAAGTACTACCTTAGATCAGTTTTTATCTCCATCTGTGGACCCATAAAATATAAGGGCCAAGACCACAGTACTTTTGATAGCCCTAGATTTCTGGAGCTCCGTGAGAGTGTAAGGTTTCTGCTGCCTAGAGGATGTATTCAGATGTCCTCTGTGCAGCCTTATTTTCCCCTAATTAATGATGCCCCAGTCTTCTCTTCTGGCTTTCTGGTCCTTTGTTGGGCAGAATTAGGGGAAAACAGAAATGGCTATGTGCAAGTTCTCAGAATCATTAGACATGAAATGATTAGGAGCAGATCCAAGAGAACATCACATGTGAGGGTTCACAGAACTAGAGTGGTCTGGGAGAGTCCACTATTGGATCCATCAAGTCTCTGTAGAGGGCTTAGAATGTCTGGGCCTCACTGCTGCAGTCTGTAGATGCAACAGTAAATCAAGTGTGCATGGTCTCTGCCCTTATGGAGTTAATTCTGAAATCTGCTAAGAGAAGACCTTGTTTTAAGCAGTTACTTCTYGTGTGTTCTGAATTGGGAAATAAGCCAAAGAAATTCCAGTTGTAAAAACATTACCAAAAAGTGCTCAAGTCCTTTCTATAATATGAAGTTAATAAACTTTACTGTAACTTTGTAATAGAGCATATATTCTGTCTTCATATGGCTCTGGAGAAATAAAATACCTTTAGTAAGTGTCCATTAAGGTTCCACRTACCTCTCTACCCTAGGAGGGCTTACAGCTGGAGTGCAGGCAGGCCCACAGATAGCTGAGATAGAAGGCAGACTGTACATGCCCTTGAGGAAAAATTCACTGAGCTCTGGACTGAAAAGAAAAGGTAATGTTCCCATTGAAAGATCAAAGATGATTTCATGGAGGAGCTGCTGGGTGTGGAGGGCTTTAAAGGGTGTTTGAGTGCTCAAATGACAGATGAGAGGAGCTCTCGAAAGCTTGGGATGTGTAGCAGACCTTGTAAAAATCCAGTGTTAAGTTTTGCACCAGGAAGAGCGGGATTGGGCAGGAAAGGCAGGCTACAGCGTGAAGGTCTTAACTCCCAGACAAAAGCTGCTTATTCTCTGTTCCTTCAGCATGCAGAACCATGAGAGTTTTTTTGAGAAGGGGATTATGTGATGGTCAACTAGAAGGACCCACAGATTTAACATTTGAAGCAGATTGGATGGGTTGACTCTTCCTTTGTGAAATACTGACCTGGTGCAGTGGGAGGAGCCAAGATCTGGAGAAGCCAGATCTGCAACCCTAGTTCCTGTCCCCAATAACATGAGGTTATTGGGTTTCTCTGCCACTGGTACACTGGGTTTCTCTGCCACTGTTTTGAAAATGAAATTAGACCTATGATCTTTTCAGAGCCCTTCCAGCTCTAGCATTCTAAACAAATTAAATACTGAAAATTTGTTCTAAACTAGCCATAGATACAGTGGAGTGGAGCAGCTTTATTACCTCAGAGCTTTGAGATGAGGCCATCAGCTGATGGCTTTGTAAATTGATAAGCTGCCTTTAGTTTCAAACTGAATTTCTGCAAAACAATGTATTTTATTTACTACTTCTGTAAAACCTTCAAATTTCTAAACTAAAAATGACTTGAATATGTATTTTTATTTTTTTAGTTGTAGATGGATACAATAACTTTATATATTTTTTATGGGGTTCTGAGAATCGAACCCAGTGCCTCACACCTACTAGGTAATCTCTCTACCACTGAGCCACACCCCCAGCCCTTTAATATATAATTTTTAATTTGAAAACAGTAGTCATTGTTTCCCTGTTCAGAAAGGACTTGGTAACCCCAGGGGTAACTGCCAGGGGTCACAGGAGGGCTTTAGGACTTCTTTTCTCAGAAGTAGGGTTTGTTTTTTGTTTTTTTTCTTTGCTTCCTATCTGTGTCTTCCTGTCTGCATCTCTGTTGTTCTCACACTTCTCCCCCTTTGGCCTCTGATGTCCTCCCTCTATTGGCCTAAGTATGGATGTGTCAAGTGTGTTGTGAATTAAGATTTGTTATCTCCTTTTTTCAAAAAAGTCTAAATGAATAAAACATTTTACAGTTTTCTCTATTTGAAATTTCCTATATCATACCACTTTTTACTAATGTGACTTTATTTGTACATTTCTCTTCCTTAATGGATTAACTTAACAAATGCTTAAATTCAGAGAGGGAGGAGTCTGGAAACAATTTGGTGGATGGAATTATGGGCATTTAGTTTGCATATGGTATGAATACAGATATGAAAGGGTGAGGGTTATTTTGAGTAGCTCCAGAATCAAGAATCAAGGTGATGTATGAGGAGGCACACTTTGATTGGAGACATGAAAAAATGATCCTACAAACTATGTCTTGTCCCATCATAAAAGGGGCTGCCTCAGCAGGTCAGGAAGTCCAATAGTAGTGAGGAACCTATAACAGGTGTCTGTAGAGCATTGAATGAGAGACAGTCAGGTGCCTGTGTTCCTCCAGGGATTGATTGTAAATGGGTAAACATGAGCATTTAGCTGCTGCCTTCTTACATGTTTTGTCTCAAGTTCACAGTCCTAACTTACATCTTATTTTTTCAATTAGGAAAAGATGGCATCTCTTTCCTCCTGAAGATACGCCTTTCCTTTATCCAACTAGAATCCCTTATGAAGAATCTAGCGTGTTCAGTAAAATCAATGTTGTCAATCCTGATTTAAAGCGTTTTCCTCAGTTCCAGAAAGCTCGAAGACATACGGTCACGCTGAGCCCAGGACAGGTAATGGGGCTTTAAAACATTATGAGCCATCAGTGGACACCACAGCTGTAACTCTCTGAAATCCTTATTTCATGTTCTTCTCCCTCTGTAAAAATGAGAATGGTTTCCTTTGTGCTGTTGGCATAGCTTCCCCAACTCTGGGGCTTCGGCACCTGCATCTCTGCTTCACAAACCCCTGGAAAGGAGATGGGAGAGGGAACACAGCGCCTTCTATTGGTGAAGAGGGAAATAGACTTTGGAAAAAGATGAGCCCACAAAGCCATTTCTATTCAGGTTAAGAGAGTTTCAAGCATGGGTACCTGAGCATCTCTGCAGTATTTATTCACARTTAATGTCTATTCAGGGATGGGGTTGTAGCTCAGTGGCAGAGTATTCGTCTCCTGTGCGTGAGGCACTGGGTTCAATCCTCAGCACCACATAGAAAAATAAATAAATAAAACAAAGATATTATTTCCATCTACAACTAAAAAAAAGATTTTAAAAAATATCTGTTCAAGTACAATAATACTGAACCTATGTACATAAACTAGGTTGGAATGTATCCAGGTAGTGGGCAACACATGCAGAGAKAATTAAGGATGGTTTATTTCTGGGAAAGAAAGTTGACTATTTCTGAACTATTTCTAAAGGCATTATACTTAGTGCTGCTACTCAGTGGGGAAAACTTCTTTACCACATTGGCATTGCTATCCAATATTTTATTAGCAATATGAAAACTTTTTCATAATCTTTTTAAAAATTTTTCTATTTTTATAAATTCATAAAATTTATCTTAATTTTGCATCATAATTATACATCATAGTGGAATTCTTTGTCATATATTTGTATATACACACAATGTAACAATATAATTTGGTCAGTTTCATTCCCCAGTTTCTCCCCTTCTTCCCTCCTCCCTCTTCCAGTTCTCTTCCTCTATTCTGCTGGTTCCCTTTCTATTTTCACAAGATTCCTCTTCCCATCTTTTTTTAAAAATCTTTTTCCCTCTAGTTTCTACATATAAAAGAAAACATACCACCCTTGACTTTCTGTGTCTGACTTATTTGACTGAAYACAATATTCTCAAGTTCCATTCATTTTCCTGAAAATGACATTATTTCATTCTTTTTTTATAGAAGACAAAACTCCATTGTGTGTATATACCACATTTCCTTTATCTGTTCATCTGTTGATGGACACCTAGGTTGGTTCCAGTATTTGTTGTGAACTGTGCTTCTATAAAACATGAGTATCCATATGTGAGTAGAGTCTGATCACTAATTCTTTAGGATAAATCCCAAGGAGTAGTATAGCTGGGTCATATTCCTAGTGTTCCATTCCTAGTGTTTTGAGGAACCTCCATACTGATTTCCATGGTGGCTGTACTAATTTATAGTCCTACCAACAGTGGCAAGTAGTCCTTTTCCCCATATCCTCTCCAATATTTATTATTATTTGTATTCTTTTTAAAATATTTTTTAGTTGTCGATGAACCTTTATTTTATTTATTTATTTATGTGTGGTGCTGAGATCTTTTTTCCCAAAAAAATATCTGTTTATTCATTTGCCCATTTATTGATTGGGGTTTTTGTTTTGGTTTGGTCTGGTCTGGCTTTTGGTGGTGTAAGTTTTTTGAGTTCTTTATATATTATGGATATTAATCCTTTGTCAGAAGAGTAGCCAGGAAAATTTCTTTTCTCTCATTCTTTAGGTTCTCTCTTCACACTCTAAATTGTTTCCTTTGCTGTGTAGAAGCTTTTTAATTTGCTGCTATCCCATTATTGGTATTATTTCCTGAGCTTTAGAAATCCCATGCAGAAAGTTGTTGCTTGTGTCTAAATGTTAGAGTGTTGATCCTACATTTTCATTTAGGAGTTAGGAAAGTTTTGGTCTAATTCCTAGGTCTTTGATCCATTTTGAGTTGATCTTTGCGCAGCAAGCGATAAGAATCTAGTCTCATTCTTCTACATTAAGGATTTCCAGTTTTCCCAGTACCATTTGTTTAAAAGGCTGTCTTTTCTCCAATATATGTTTTAGGCACCTTTGTCAAGGATCAGCAGACACTATCTGTATGGTTTTATCTCTGTGTCTTCTATTCTGTTCCATTTGTCCATGTTTCTGTTTTTATGCCAGTACCATACAGCTTCTGTTACTATAGCTTTATAATATAATTTGAAGTCAGATATTGTGATCCCTGCAGCATTGCTCTTTTTGCTTAAAATTGCTTTCGCTTTTCTGGATATTTTATTCTTCCAAATGAATTTTAGGACTTTTTTTCCTTAGTTCTGTGAAGAATGTCATTAGTATTTTGGTAGGAATTACATTGGATCTGTATATCACTTTGGACAGTATGGGTATTTTAACAATATTAATTCTGCCTATCCATGAACATGGGTGGTCTTTCATCTTCTTCAATTTCTTTCTTCATTGTTCTATCATTTTCATTACAGAGATCTTTCACCCCTTAGATTTATTCCTGGTGTTTTTTGTGTGTTCATTTTGTTTTTGGTTATGGGGATGGGGGGCAAGGAGATAGTGGTATTGTGAATAGGATTGTTCTCCTGATTTTTTTTTTCCTAGAAAATTCATTATTGGTGTATAGGAAAGCTATTGATTTTTGTATGTTGATTTTGTATCCTGCTACTTTGCTTATTTTTTAAATTAGTTCTAGCAGTCTTCTCATGAAGCTTTTTGGATCTTCTAAGTATAGGATCATATTATCTCCAAACAGTGATATTTTGACTTCTTTCTTTCCTATTTGTATCCCTTTTATTTCTTTCTCTTACCTAATTATTCTGGCTAGAATTTCAAGTGCTAAATTAAATAGGAATGGTGAGAGTGAACATCCTTGTCTTGTTCTGAATTTTAGAGGAATACTTTCAGTTTTTTCGCATTCAGTATTATGTTGGCTTTGGGTTTATTGTACATAGACTTTATGATGTCAAAGTGAGTTCCTTCTGTGCCTAGGGGTTCTTCATTGCTTTTATCATGAACAGGTGCTGAATTTTGTCAAAGGTTTTCTCTGCACCTGCTGAAATGACTAAATGCTTTTTTTTGTCCTTAATTCTATTTGTGTGGTGAATTACACTTATTGATTTATATATATTGAACCATGCTTTCATCCCTGGGATGAAACCCATTTGGTCTTTATGTATGATCTCCTTAAAATATTAATGAATATAATTTGTCAATATTTTACTAAGGATTTTTACATCTGTGTCCATCAGGGATACTGATCTACAGTTTTCCTCATTGATGTGTCCTTATCTGGTTTTGGTGGCAGGATGATACTGGCTTAATAGAATGAATTTGGAAGTGTTCTGCTACTTTCTATTTAATGTAATAGTTTGAAGAACATTGGTATTAGTTCTTATTTAAAGGTCTGGTAGAATTCAGCTGAAGTGATCCTAGGCTTTTCTTTGTTTGGAGACTTTATTTACTACTTCAATCTCATTGCTCGTTATTAGTGTGTTCAGGTTTTCTATATCGACTTGGTTCAATTTGGACAGGTCATATTTGTCTAGAAATGTATCCACTTATTTTATATTTTCCAATTTATTGTAATGTAAGTTTTCAAAATAGCCCTTAGTGATTCTATGGATTTCTGTGATATCTTTTATGATATTTTCTTTTTCACCTCTAATTTTATTAATTTGGTGGTTTTTTGTTTTTTGTTTGTTTGTTTGTTTTGGTTAGTTTGGCTCAGAGTTTATCAATYTCATTTATTTTTTCAAAGAACAAACTGTTTTGTTGATTAATTGTAATTTTAATGCTCTATTTCATTGATTTGGGCTCTGATCTTATTTCTTTCCTCCTACTGGTTTTGGAATTGGTTTGTTGTTTTTCTAGGGCATCAAATGCATCCTTAGGTTGTCAATTTGGGATCTTTCTGATTTCCTTATGTAGGCACTCCTAGATGTAAACTTTCCTTTTAGAATCACCTTCAGGGCTGGGGATATAGCTTAGTTGGTAGAGTGCTTACCTCGTATGCACAAGGCCCTAGGTTCAATCTGCAGCACCACACCAAAAAAAAAAAAGAAAGAAAGAAAAAATCACCTGCAAAATGTCCCAGAGATTTTAATATGTTGTGTCTGTAGTCTCACTTGATTCTAAGAATTTTTAAATTCTGATTTCTCTTGTCATCATTCAAAAAGTATATTTTTCAATCTCCCTGTGTTTGTATAATTTCTGTAGTCTTTCTTGATGTTGATTTCTAATTTCATTCCATTATTATCTGATAAGATATAAGGAATTATATTGATTTTTTTTCATATTTTCTAAAGTTGCTTGGTGCCTAAAATATGGTCTATTTTGCAGAATTTTCCATGGGCAATTGAGAAGAAAATGATTTTGACATCTATTCTCTAGATGTCTGTTAAGAGGTTTTCATAATCTCTTATTATGGATGCTTTATTCCCTTGATTATTCCCCTCCCCTGTCTGTCTTCCTTCCATCACTCCCTTTTAACTGTCCCTCTTCCTGTTTCTTTCTCATTCAGGTACTGCCAACTCATACAATTTGACTTGATCAAGTTTCCTCCACCCTTAGCTCATTCCCCACTGACTTCTTTCCCCTCAGCCTCTGACAACCACTAATTTATTTTCTGTCTGCATAGGTTTGCTGTGATTTTAGGTATTTCACATAAGTGAGACCAGACACATATGACCTTTTATGTATGGTTTCTTTTGARCGTCATCCATGTTGTAGTATGTTAACATCACTTTATTCTTCTTTAAGATTCAATAATATTCTGTTATATAGATTCCTGTATATATTAAAGGAATCTATATACATTTCTATATACATTCACATGTCTTTATTCATTTAATGAATTTATTCATTCATTAGTTGATGGACATTGGGTTATTTCCACTTTTTATGATAATTCTATTTTGAACATTGGTGTACAAATTTTTGTATGAACATACGTTTTCATTTCTCCTGGGTTAGGTACCTAAGAGTATAATTTGTAGATCATATTGTAATAGTGTGTTTAACTTTTTGAAGAATTACCAACYTGTTTACTATAGAGGCTCTACAGTTTTACATTTCCCCCAATAATCTGTGAGTGAAGAATTTTTTCACTTTTTCCCCCACCCTTGATATATTTTTTAATTATTATAATTCCTATAGCCATTCTAGTAGGTATGAGATAGTTGCCAATTCATTTTTTCTTCCATCTTTAGTAGCCAAATTTGAATGACTGGTTTTGTCCATCAGATTTCCTTACATGCTGCCTGTTCTTTGGTTAACCATGTACAAGTTCTCTCTCACCACTTTACTGAAACTGTATTTTATGATATAAGACATTCATGTCTGTGTTACTCAGCTCTCAATCACTGTGACAAAATACTGAGAAAATAAACTTAATAAGGGAAAACATTTGTTTTGGCTCATGGTTTCAGAGGTTTCAGTCCATGGTCACTTGGCTCTGTTGCTTTGGACCTGTGGTGGCACAGCACATCGTGGTAGGAGTGCATAGCACAAGTAGATACTGCCATTATGGTGGTGGGGATGCAAAAGATAGAGACAGAATGGGGCTTGGGCCCCCATATCACTTTCAATTGCACACCCCCAGTGACCTAACTTCTTTCCACTGTGTCCCACCTCTTAAAAGGCCTACCACCTTCCAGTGGCACCACAGACTCTCAACACATGGGCCTTTTAGGGACACTTCAAAATATATGAACCTCTTTTATTAGGAGTGTGGGAAGCTCTGGAGATTTAACCCAGAGATACTTTACCACTGAGCTACATCCCCAGCCCTTTTTGTTTTTTAATTTTGAAACACAGTGTCACTGAGTTGCTTAGGGCCTTGCTAATTTGCTGAAGCTGACCTTGAACTTGCGATCCTGTATTAGTCTCCTAAACCACTGGGATTACAGGCATGTGCCACCATACCTAGCCCATATCCACCTCTTAGTAACTAAATCCAATGGCCTTTTTAATGCCCAGTTTTAAAAGGAACTCTTCCCATCTCCAAACCCTGCCCCATTAGAGCAAGTGTCACTGGTTTCCTAAATCCAAAAGCTTCAGATCATCCTCATTTGCCATTCTCAGCCTTCAGTAGGCAGTCTCATACTGAGTCTGAGCAGTTACCATTCTTCTTGACTTTGCACGTTGCTTTTGTCTAGTAAAACTTCCTGTTTAGATCTTTCAGTAATTGGACCATCACGAGAATCTCCTGTCCTTTTCAGACTTGCTCTTAATGTTACTCTTTTAACCATCCTCCTACTCAGAATTTCTCAGTGTCTCCAAAGCTACAGGATGAAATCCCCATTCTTTATTCTGGATTCAGAGTCCACCACAGGCCCTCACATGGTTTTCCCAACTTACCTCCCGTCACTCCTACTGCAGCCGTAAGTCTGACATATTCAACCGTCTACCTCTTCTGCCAGTGTTGCTTCTTCCTGGCATGTGCTCATTCTCTTCTTCCTGGCATGTGCTCATTCTCTTCTCTAATTTCTCTCTGTGCCCTGGTTCAAATCACACTTTCTCCATTCCCTAGTTGCATCCTGCTTCTCCCACTTTTGAAGTTCTCAAGCCCCGAATGTCCTCTCATTTACTCGGGCCATCTTCTTACATGTGTCTTCTCCTGGGCTCGATTGGGGACTATAAAAGGACAGAAACTGTGTCCTTCACTTTTGCCTGTGCCCTTCCTCAGAATGCATTCAGCTGTTCTGCAAGGAAAACCTTGAATCTCAGAAGCCTTAAAAGGTGGGCAGAGGAGGCTCAGGAGAAGGAGAGTAGAGAAACTGGCAGAAGCCTAGGTACAACACATTAACTTAACGAAGAAAGGAATAAAAGGAAAAAAGACTGTGGTATTTTTTTTTCTTCTTTCCCTTTCCTTTATGAATTCATTTGGCTTTTCCCCCCCTCTAGCAGCCTCAATCAGGGTCTGATTCTAATGTAATAATGAAATGTCCTGTTATTATGCTAACTGTTTTTTGTTTGGTTTTCAGGTTCTGTTTGTCCCTAGACACTGGTGGCATTACGTCGAGTCCCTTGATCCTGTCACTGTCAGTATAAACTCATGGATTGAACTGGTACTTTCTTTTGTTGTTTATTTTCTTATAAAAATGCACAAAGTCCCTGCTTTTGATATATAAAGCCTGTCTATAAAATTTGGCAATTAATTTATTTAACTGACACTCTGATTGATTTGATTTGATACGCTATGATTCTGTCTTCTGTTGATGGACATTTACATTGGAAATAGAATTCTTAGAGGCACTCCACTCTCCTTTTTCAAAGGACCCAYGTGATGGGCACTGTTGTTGACATGCAGAGCCCTCTGCCGTCACCAGTGTTGTTARGATTGTGTTGGAACTGGAGAGATCTGCTGTATGTGCTCAATGGAGGCAGTCCCATCCCACACCGTCTTGTTCTGGAAGTATCTGCTTCTGGATTCAGGGCCCTCATTGCTAGTTATAGAATTCTTAGTCTCAACTTATATATTTTTTCAAAGCAGAGTCTTTCGGTACTTGGTTTTTATCATTGATTTCTGCCAGAAACCTTTTCTCACCAATATGGTATCCTGAATCCTGGTTACCTGCTCTGTTTGACAACTACAATAGCTGCCTGTTATGCTCATGTCTGTCCCCTTAATTCGAGGCCTTAATTGCATCTGTGCCCTCTTTAATCCCAGGGCCTCATTGCATCTCTGATCTCCTTAACCCAAATCCTTGATTGCATTTCTCTAACTCTCTTTGTAGCTTCCTCCTCCCCCACAGTCAGTGTTCACTCTCCTTTGGTAACAGGAAGGACTTTGGAACATAAAAACATATCAGTAAAGAAACTAGAGGTTTGGGTCTTGCAAGAAGAATAGATTCAGGGGACATGTGGCAGGTATCTTCAAATACTTGAAAAAGAAAATGTACTGTTTCAGCAACAATGGATAGGGCTATTCGCAGTAAGGAGTACTGCACAGAAAGCTGCTCCATATAGACGAAGGTGGGGGGAGTGGTATAAACTTTGGAGTGTAGGTGAAAAGTGTGGCAGGAGGTGAGTAGACACAGGAATCTGCTTGAAGCTTGCTGAACTGGAGTTGGAGTAGATTTGCAGTGCCGTCCTTAGAGCCCACCTCTGCTGCCAGTGCCAATGTCACATCTCCAGTAGCCCTAAAGCAAGCTCCTCTGTTGTTCAACAGTAGAGCTGTCGTCTGCCTGCGTATAGTCATATATATATGTGTGTGTGTATGTGTGTGTGTATATATATGTGTGTATATATATATATGTAATATTTTATTAGTTGTTCTGGATATTTATTTATTTATTTATTTATTTATTTATATGTGGTGCGGGGGATCGAACCCAGAGCCTCACACATGCCAGGCAAGTGCTCTACCACTGAGCCACAACCCCAGCCCCAAATAATATATTTTTAAGATGTTCCATTTACATTAAAATCCCAATACTGATATTACTATTAAGCATAAAACTTGTAAGTAGAATTGGAAATTTCATTGCAATTCTTTTCATCATTAGACTATAGCCCATGAAAGGGAGGAGAGTACAAAGGGTTTGTTCAAAGTTTCAATGTAGCCAGGCAAAGTGGCACATGCCTGTAATCCCAGTGATTCGGGAGGCTGAGGCAGGAACATCGTAAGTTCAAAACCAGCCTCAGCAAAAGCACGGTGCTAAGCAACTCAGTGAGACCCTGCCTCTAAATAAAGGGTTGAGTGTCCCTGAGTTCAATCCTTGGAACTGCCCCCACCCCAAAAAAAAGTTTCATTATAAAGGAATTCTTTTCATTTGTGGCTGTGTTGATGATATTCCATTAGGTTCATTTGAGGAGTTTTTCTTCATTTTTTGGTCTAATTTAATAATCAACATGTAAATCATTTGATTTGCCAAAACTGTATTAAAAGGTATGCTCACAGACATCCCCATTTCATCCCTGTCTCCTCCACCCCATTCCTCCCAGCCTCTGTAAGGATCCATTTTTATTCATTTCTAGTTCATCATTCAAGTGTGTCTTTTTTCTGCAAGTGTGTGTGTGTGTGTGTGTGTGTGTGTGTGTGTAAAACTGATGAGTATGTTTATCTGTGCAAATAAGTATATACAATTTACTTTTGTGCATATATAGTTACTTCCTCTTTCTTACACAGAAAGTAATAAACTATAGTGTTCTGTGCCTTATTTTTTAATTTAAAAATGATATCTTCAATTTGCCTACATAATAGTACAGAGAAATCATCATTTGTTTCTAAACAGCTATATACTACCCAATCGTGAGAACACACCACTATTATTCAGTAGACCCCCTGTGGATGGACATTTGCATTCTTTCCAATCTTGTGTAATTACAAATAATGCCAGTGAATAACCTTGTGCATTTTTTGTTTGTTGAAGTACATCCCTGGGGAAGATTAAAAGTGGGTTTACCAAGTTGTAGGATAAATATATCTTTAATTTTACTAGGTTTTACCAAATCCAATCCAGTGAGACTGTGCCATTTTGCATTCCTACCAGGGGTGTAGGAGAGTGCCTGTTTCTTCCAGAGCCTTATAAACAGAATGTGTTGTCAGATTTTATTGGTTTTAGTTTGGGGGTTAYAGTGAGAAAGACTTTTCCCTTTTCTGGGTCCTAAAGGAATTTGCCGATGTTTTCTTTTAGAAGCTGGATCACTTCATATTCGTTTGCATTTAGATCTCTTATTCTTTTGTAGGTTTTCACTATATGGTATAAAACCGACATCTAATTTTATCTTTTTCCAAATGGTGATATCACAGATGTCATAGGTTTAAATGTCACCTTAATCATATACTAAATATGTATATATCATAGGTCCATTCCTTCCACTGGGCTTTCTACCTGTTTTTCATCACTTCTACCCTGCTTTATTTAGAAAGGACTTACTATTTGTCTTTAATATCTGAAAGACTGACTTCTCTCATTACTTTTCTTTTTTTTTTCTTTTTTTTTTTT